ACTATGTTCCCCTTGTACATGCATCTGCTGTCCTAATCCACTCTGGTGCTCTCTTGTAGGCATATTGATGGGGATTTGGTGAGTGGCATAGATGACCCTCTTCTTTGGCTTCAACTGTAAAACATAGAGTTTAGGTTACAATTGTTTTATACACAGTTTATTGTAATCCAACAGAATATAATACTACACCTTTTTATTTGGATTAGATGGACACTTCCTAGCATTATGTCCAGCTTCCCTACATACAGAACAGTGCAGTTGAATGTGGTTTCTTGACACTCTATTTCCGTCTTGGGTCAACTCAGCAGCTGATCTTGTCCTTAACTTTTTGGGCTTCCCAACCTGAAAAACACCAACAAATGAAATCAGTTTTGATACAGCAGAGAGTTAAAGGATAAGGGTCAGCAATCAAGCAATCACCTTGGCAGAATACAAGGGTGGCAATGGGGGTGGTCTATCACACCTAGGCCACTCAGCAAGACCTGCCATTGGGTTGATACTTGCACTGTATATCTTCAGATATGTTTCTTTTGAGTAGCATGGATGGACAAAGTCAAACACTCCACCTTTCCCAAATTTTTTCCATATAGCACATATTGCATGCTTGCATGGAATGCCTGTCAGCTCCCACCTCCTACAAGAACATTGTTTTCTTTCAAGGTCAACTTGTTGTTGATCCCCATATAAGTGTCTAACCTCAAACTTGAAGAAATCACATTGTGTTGCTAAGTAACCAGATGCAGCCTTCTCTATTTGCTTCAACTTCCTGACAATCTTAGGACATATCAAGGACTTCCATTATGCAGCTTTCTGTCTATTCTCAAACAACTTAGCCATAATCATTTTCCTTATAATTTCTAGGCACTCAATGATAGGCTTGTCCCTTGCTTCCATTATAGAGGCATTCCAAGACTCACAAATGTTATTCACTAATATGTCGCAATGGGATTTTGTAGAGAAGTGGGATCTAGACCATTCTGTTGGGCTTTTATCACCTAACCATTGGTATGCAGCTTCATCTAATCTCCTTAGTTTATACAAAGCATCAGTGTAAGCATTTACAGTGTTTGCCCTAGCACAAGTCCATAATGCATCCTTAATAGCCTTACCCTGGAAACCTGCCACCTTCATATTTGCATGTAGGTGTCTCATACAAAATCTGTTTTCTACACCAGGTAGCACTTCATCAAAGGCTGGAATTAGACCCTTCTGTTTGTCACTTATGAAGCAGTACTCATCATCCTCTGTATCACTTATCTGCATATCATCTTTCAACAGCTTTAGAAACCATATCCAAGATTCCTTTTTCTCTCCTTCCACAATAGCATAAGCTAATGGAAATATAGAGTCATTTGCATCTATACTCACAGCAGTCAGAAACATCCCTCCAGTTTCAGATTTAAGGTGACAACCATCTACCCCAATCAGTCTTCTACACATCCTGAAGCCTTCCTTGCTGCTTTTCCAACAAACATACATTCTCAGAAATCTTTCCTGCCCACTTCCATCTTTTAAGTCACTCAACTTAACAAGACATGATGACACGGGATTTGTTGTCAAGACTTCTTCTCTATAACTCCAAATCTTTTTGAAGTTGGCTTCCTCATCACCTACTCTTATATTCTTTGCCTTCCAAATAGCCTTATATGCTTGTGAATCACTCACATAAAATCCCTCCTCTGTGCAAACCTTATCTTTGAACTTTCTCATCATCCAATCTGGGTGATCTTTTAATTGAGTTGCCCACCTCTTAGCAACCACACTTGATTTCACCATTGAGTTCTCCCAAACCCAAGAACAACCTTCATGTTCATCTACCATGTTCAAAATCCTCCATGCAAATGACCTTATTACTTTCCTCAACCCTATTCTCCAAGGGCAACCCTCCTGTGTACACTTAACAATGATCCTTTCCTTGTCATTTTTTAGAGTTCTAATTTCTTTGCCATTATTGAAAGCATAATTTTGAACTGCTTCCCTAAACTGTTGTTTTGAAGCAAATGTCATGCCTAAAGTGAAATGGGGGTCTTTCATGTCTGTTGCAGCTCTAAATATAGGCCATTTGCTTTCCCCATCACCATCACTATTAGAATCCACTACTGACTCCTCATCAGAAAAGAAGATGTCATCCAAATTCTTAACCTTTTTCTTTGTTTGAGCTACAACAACCTGCTCATCTACTTTATCATCCTCTACAGTGAAATCAACAACTTGGCCATCATCCCCAGCCCCTACATCAACCTGCTCATCTACCCCCAATCTCTGTACCTCAATCTCATCTTCCCAATCACTTTCTGGCTCCAGTACTTCCATATCATCTTCAATCAAGTCCTGGTCATCCATTGTTTCAACCCAAAACTCCAACATTTTACTTGGGTTGACCTCATTCAATATAGGTATAAGATCATTGTCTGATTGTAGCAACTTCAAACTATCATTCCAATAACAATAAATCAGCTCACCAACCTCACTATACCCTAACTGTTTTATCTTATCCTTCAACACATCTAGACACACTTCATTAGCTTCCATTCTTTCATACAGTTCTACATCACCACCCAAGTATTTAACTTCACCAACCCTATTTACTATCTCATTATGGAAAAGGACAACTTCAAATGGGCCAACACCATCTCCTGTAAAGCCAACAGTCAACAGAGTGGTACCCACAAGACAGAAAAACAATAGTCATATGAAAATGATTCCTAACCACAAAAAATTTAAACATAATGGTCCCCACAGAATAACAACAATGTTTCCTAAACCCTATATATGCACATGACAAGAATCAGTAACTACAACAGTAGTATTGGTCCCCACAGACCACTACAACAATTTCCCATACTCATCAGAATTCATACTAACAATAATAAACAACATACCACTACAAAAAATGGTCCCCACATTACAAGACACAAATACAAACTCCATTATGCTTTATGCATATATAACCCACACGTCAAACCCTAGAAATGCTTAACTTCCATTCAACTCCACAAAAAACACTCCACACAAACAACACAAACTCATTCACTATAAAATTCATACAATTCAAACAGTTACAAATTATTCAAACTTACTTCGTTGGAGCGTATTTGGGGCAGAACCCGTTCCAGTCGCTAATGATTTACGCATTGCAGTAGGCGAAGTGAAGAGTTCTCTTTGTTCCCGCTTTCTTCCTTTTTCCACACTGTCTTCGCGTTTCTCTGTTGTCTTCCCGCTACTTTCACACAAAATTAGGGTTGCGTGGAGGTTGATTAAGGTGGGAAATGGGAATCCGTTTTCCCCCCCTTTTCTATGACCTGAACGGACGATTTTACCCCCCCCCCCCCCCAAAAAAAAAAAATAATAAACAATTCCAATTGACATTCCAGCGGATTTCTACCGGCAAATTAGCCGGAAGGACTCAATGTGTAAAAAAAAACTTACTAAAAGGACTAAATCTGTTAGTTTTAAAAGTCACGAACTGAAATTACCACCTCCACTATAGTCATAGGATCAAAAGTGTAATTTTCTCTAAGTAAAATAAGATGATAATGAATGTAATCATAGTAATGTGGTTATAGTGACATATAACTAAATAGACGATAGATGATTATGTTTTCTATTTCGAAAACAGTTTTTAAGTGTGTTTCAATTTTTCATAAATTTCCAGAAATGATTTTCAGTTGTTAGTAAACATGTTTTCTGTTTTCAATTTTTCAGTTTTCGGAAATTTTCAGTTAGTAAACGACCCCTTAAGTTTTAAGATTGATCTCAATTTGCAGTTCTCATCCACAAATTAAGGTAGGATAAGATGGGAATTGCGAATTTGGATCGATATTAGAACTTATTCCTTTTATTCATGTTCAAATTGAAATTTTAAGTTGAAAATAGCAAAAATATCCTTAAAATTTTATATTTCGTTATGTCTTAAAATGAGTAACTAGTGTAATAAATATTGACACTAAAACAATAATTGTAAATAAAAAACAATTAATACTAAAACAATAATTATAAATAAAAATAGATAGGAATTAAACATGTTGAAAACATTGTCATTTTACTAATATATACTCATAAGATTAAAATTGGTATTGCCACAATGGAGTGTGTAGTGTCAAGACTCGGCCAGATTGAGGGCGAATGGCAAAATAGTGATTGTGATGTAAATTGGGCGTCAATTACTAAGCTACCCTTGAATCCCTACTTGCATTCTTCAACCAAGCATAGGGACTATAAAAGAGAGAATACAGAGAGAGAGAGAGGTCAACAATGGCGAAAAGCAAGCTCAGAAGAGAGACTGAGGCTGCAGAGACGAGATTGGGATTTTCTATGAGGGTGGTTGCCCCATCTCTGCTAGCCATTGATTTCGTCGTTTTCGAAAACAATAACCAACAGCCCTCTTTCTCTTTGAGAAAATAATATATATTACTCCGTATATATACATACACATACATACATACAAACAAACACACCCATGGATCTATGGACTATGAAAGCTCTTCACTGAAATCTTCCGGCGGCGGCTATGGTTATGGTTATAGAACGGGGGGGCGGTGATGATATTTCCTTTCTTCTGAGCTAACGGATCGGGCATCGCAATTACCCGACCCGTATCTTGGCGGGGCAACACACTGATGAGAGTGAATCTCGCGTGGATTTGTTGTGTTTGCAGCCATGGCGGCGTCAAGGTTTTGTCTTTGCCCGATCATGACCTAGGTCTGAGCCTCCATTTTATTGCATTTCTCGATGATATGCACTGCATTTCTTACTGGAAGTTTCATTTTTATTTTATTTTATTTTATCACTTTCGGCCTGTTTTTCACAGATCTTACAGTTGGATTGATATGATATGATGCTATCAAGGTTGAGGCTTTTGCTAAACACTTAGAAGAGGTAATGAGTTTCAAAGGGCGGTTGCTCCCTCTCTCTGTTGTTTAATTTAGCCTATGATTTATCCATTTGAACATATAACCATTAATGCAATCCAACGATGGAGCACATGCTTCAATTATCCAAAATGATGATGGAAGCTTGAAATTCAACAGCCCTATATGATCATGTACTGATCTTCATACCATACTGGTAATAACAATAATAATAATAATAATAATAATAATATGGAGTAATAATTATGATCTGGGGTGCGACGCCGTGGTTTAGCATTTCTTTATTGAAAATCTGGGGTGACCATAGTGTCTGGAACCATAAAATGTGAACTTGAGGCTGTGATGTTAGTTTTTGTTATTGTTATACAACAATAAAAATCTGATTTCTGAGCTGCCCGTATCTTGGCATGGCAGTTGTTTTCTTGCAGCCATGGCGGGTTGAGCCTGCATTTTGTTATTCTGATAGAGAAAAATGAAAATGCTACCTGAGCCTCATTTGATTTTGGTTTTGGTATCTGTAGTCTTCCGATTATTTATTGGAATAAGGGTCAAATATGCCACAGAAATAGTAGCTTTCAGCTTTCATCACGTACACCTGCCAGTTGTTTCGCCGGTTGGCTGGCATGGCCTGATGGGCTAGCCAGCACAGCCTAGGCGGCCTGGCAGGGCACAGAACAACAACATAGTATTTTTGTTTCTATGGTGCTGGTTGTTCTTATTATATACTAGTATTTTCACCAGTGCGTGTGGCTGTATTATATCTTCTCAATTTCTCATTCTCAACTTAGCTTCTACTTTAATTCCGAATTCCTAACACTCTTCAAAGGGGGTGAATAAAGAAAATGAATTGGGGCTGTGATGATAATCTTAAGCAAAAAGGCTACTTGGATGATGACACTTGTATATGGCAGGGCAATCCAGATTTGTGTAAAATTTTCACATAAAATCTGCCGATTTGCAGCCATGGCTGGTGTCAAATGCTTCAATGCCTTAATAGATACAGATTTGAGCCTCAATTTCTTTATGCTTTTTGGGGGGCCAATTGTCTTTGTACATTTGTTTGTGCTTTGCATTTGCAGTGGAAATAATGGACTGGAGCTTTAAAATTCTTAATCTAGATCAACTTGATTTAGGTTGAACAAGTAAGCCATGCTTTGGTTTCTATTTGGGTTTATTCAATGGCCTCGGAGGCTGGTATTTAACACATTGATTTTGTTCCATAAGTTCCCTAGCAGGCTAGCACTACCATACATGGTGCCATGGTGGTCTTGTTGCTTCTGAGCAGCTGCAGTATCTTTTCAACTAACCTTCAGCTCGGAAGGCCAAACTCCATCTCTAAGAAGAGGAAAGCGAGACGGAAAAATGGTGCAGTGATGATAAGTCCTTTCAAGAAAAGTAATAAGGCGATGGAGGAAAAATAAACCTGGAACTTGGCTAATAGCTCCAATTTGTGTGTGGCTAATATGGAGTTTATTTTGGATATGGAGTTTGTTGTGAAGTTAGAGGAGCAGATCTTGAAGATGATACTGTGAAGAACAGTGCAGAAAGCAATGTGTGCTAATGACCAACAGATTGTTGTTATTTTGTACCCTAATTAAATCACTTGTGAATATTTAGGTTGTCATTTATAAAACATTTAAGCCAATTCTTATGAACATTGCACTTGTAGTTTGTGGGGGCATTCATGTTTTGTGAAATTTTGATTCACATTAACATTATTAGTTATTTAGTTATATTTTCCATTCCCCATTTTTTCCCTCTCAACAGTCTTATTATAAGGTTGTGAATCAATCATTATACTATGAAACATGGTCTACCTTAAGCAGGTTCATTTTTTAGTACATTTGAATGTTCCATCTTAGTGTGCTGGTTTATTTTTAGGTACTATTTAAAAGTGAATCTTCAATACATTAGAAGTTAACATTATAATTTGTCATTGAGTTAATTATTGAAATGGTTCTTTTGGCTAAAGCAAAACTATCGATTTGGTCTTTAACTAATTAAGTTAAAACTATCGATTTGGTCTTTGACTAATTAAGTTCTTACTTTAAAAATTTTAATCTATTTTGTCATTAAACTTTTGTTAACTCAAGATTAAATTGATAATTTTGCATAGTTAAAGGAACCATTTCGGTCATCCCATATTCATATGCATCATTTTCTTTGAAAAATTAATTACTAAAATAGTCCTTTAATTATAATGAAATTATCAATTTAGTCCTCAATATTTTTGACTAATTAAGTCCCTCAGTTTTAAATTTTTTAACTAATTTAGTCTTCATTTTGTCGGTTAACTCATCACCAAATTGATAATTTCAAGGGACCATTTCAGTAATTAACTCTTTGCGATTTGCAAATATTCATGTCTAATGGTATATTAGGAATCAGGATAACAAGGAAATGTGTTTTTTTTTTTCACCTTCATGTTTATTTTTGGTACATGTAGGTCCAGAGCAACAATCAGACCATTCAAACAGAATTTAACTCATGCTAAATAGTGTAAAAATGGATTAAAACAAAAAAAAAAAAAAAAAAAAAATGGAAGGAGAAGGTGAAAATCAGTTCATTGATTCAACTATAAATACAGAAAATTGCTTACAAATTTACATAAGTCCAATGTTAGGGTAACTCCACAACCAAATCTTGAGACAGCCTCTAAAATGAATAAAATTTGGACATGAATTTACTCTTTTTTACTTCTCCTTTCTTCTTGCTCAAAGAAAAATTGATGAAAGGGCAGTTTGGTGTGTTCTTAGATGAAAATGGACAAGTGTCATTAGCAAAGAATAGAGAGGTAAGATAGCAACACTCTGAAGAAACTCCCATATCTCCTGCCTCACTTCCTTTTGAGTTTCTAGGCTACAAACCTCACTGTAGAGTTGATGTTAGATTGAAAATCGAGTTGAGGGTAATTGGAAGAAGGCAGTCTAGTAATCCTGCTATCAAAATGGTTAAACGCAAACGAGTGAAAGAAAATAAGGCAACACAGCAATGAAAATAATTCACACCATGTATGTGGTAGATACAGAAAAGAATAAGTAAAATGCAATTTAACCAAACCTGATGGCTGCAGAGCCTCATTTCTTCTTTCGAGCTTTCCACGAAATGACAGGCATACATAGCAAGGTGCGATGTGGTTCATGATATAATCTGCACTCAATTTCGAACTTTGTGTGTGTTGTAGCAGTTACTACCAAGTGTGTGTGAGGTGAGGCATACCAAATGCAAAATAATGTCACTTTTTGGTTGTCTAAAGCTTAAACAAATATGGCACTGAGTGTCTTTCCTGTAGTGACTTTTCTCTGGTAAAGATGTATTTTACAGAGCTATTGCAATGTGATCATACTAAAATTTCAAGCAAAAAACATTCTCATAGGAGGTTGGTTTTCCTCCTCATCCCCAAAAAAAAAAAAAAAAAAACATTCACACACAATGTGTATTGAGGCTCATATAAACATCTGATCAGGTATTGAAACTTGGTGACACTGCCATGGCTGCAAATCCCAGATTGCAATGTAACAAATAGTCACAACTGATCAGGGTTTGCCTAGCCAAGATACAACAGGCCTAATCATCTCAATACCCTATTCTCTTCAAACCAATTATCATCATAGCCCCCCATAAATCATTGTTGCATTTTCAGAGTTGCAGAGAATTGCAGGATAAAGATAGAGAGAGAGAGAGAGAGAGAGATCATGGAATTATCAGAGAAGCAAACCCTATATAGGTAAAACTTACATCTCTGTCAAAGCCTCATTCAGGCCACTCTAAGCAGAAATTCAGAAGGGTAGAAAGGAAACCAGAGAATTGCAGTGAAGAAAAGTGATTTTGATGAGGCTCAGATCTGTTTCTCAACCGGGCAACGGGAAGCCAGCGCCGCCATGGCTGCAAATCACCTGATTGCCCCGCCAAGATACGGGTCGGATCATCCCAGATTGCCCTGAAATCAGTAGCCCAGAAAAAAGAGAGCAGAAATCACAATCATCACAGCCTCTCGTCACAGTTTTCAGGTACATACTACATTGAACATTCCATAATTAAGGCGCAGTTTCAAAGATCAGAAAGAACAACAGACGATGAAGCTTTCCGCGACAGAAAAAAGCCCTCATCTTTCCGCAAACCAAACACGGAATTAAAATTAACCTTTTTCTGCCTTTTATTTTATTTTTATTTTTCTTGTGTTTCTTTCAAGATGAAAGAAAGATCAAAGGGCTGTTATGGGGTGCTTGATGGGATCATAGGGAAGGGAGAGGGGCAACCGCCCTTTGAACAAACTCCCCATCTCTCCCTTGCCTCAATTATTTCTGGGCTACACAACTCCATCCTGCATTTCTCAATTCTGATGACGATGAAGAAGAAATAGTCCAGGGTGAAGGGCACTCTAGTAATTATGCTTTCCAATTAATCTATCTTTTTGCTCAGATAATTTTTCACCCCACCCCCACCATTTAAGAGAGAATTAATTGCACTTTTGGATTATTTGGGTGTTGTTAATTTAAATATTTGACTTTCAAAATTTTCAATTTAGTCTTATAATAATTATACAATTGTTAATACAAATTTAGTTTTGTTGACAAAATCGCCGGCCAATTTTCACCAGAAAATATAAACTATTTTTAATTATTTAATCATGGAGGCAATTTGATCATTTCAAGCTCTTCTTCTTGAGCTTTTTATCCTCCTCTGAATATCATTGAATTGATGATCCACCTACAAATTTACCAGTCAAATCGCTAAAGAAAATGCAAGAATTCAGGGAAATGATTGCTTAAAAACCCAGATTAACAAAACCCCTCTAAGGCTCTAATTGGGTACTACAAAGGTTAATGCAGATCCTTGACGATGTTTTCTACTTCTACTGCGTCTTGGAGTCTTCATTCTCCGTATTGACCATGGATAAGCGCCACCGCAGCGTTGGCTATGGCGGATGCGGCGGCCTCGGAGAATCCTAGCCGGACGATTGTTCCGGTGAGGGAAGTCCCGAATCCCATGTAGAATCCCCTGCACCCTTTGCTTTTTAAGATCAAATTCGCCATTTTAAGGCAAGGGATCTAAGCCAGCAACTGGGGGTGCAATTTGCCGCAAGAAAGAAGAAGAGCTTGAAATGACCAAATTGCCCATGATTAAATAATTAAAAATGGTTTATATTTTTCCGGTGAAAATTGGCCGGTAGGACCAAATGTGTTAACAATTGCATAGTTACAGGACTAAATTGAGAATTTTGAAAGTCAAGTACTCAAATTAACAACACTCAATAGTCACAGGACCAAAAGTGCAATTAATTCATTTAAGAGATTTTGAGTCCAGTCCGTAAGACTTGACTCGCTGATTCAATAGGCAGTGAGAAAAGAGATCAAAGAAGTTTGAACATCGACATTGATAATCTGGAAATTATATTTAAAGTGAGCAGATCCCTTGTGCAACAGTGCGAGGATTATACCCAAAGTGAGTGGACAGCAAATTCCTTGAGAATTATATTCAAAGTAAGCAGATCCCTTGTCCAACAGTGCGAGGATTATACCCAAAGTGGACAGCAAATCCCTTGTGTGGTGGTACGGGAGGTGGGGTAGGAATTATGCCTACAATGGTCAGATCCCTGATCCCTTGGGGTAGGAATTATGCCTACAATGGCCAGATCCCTGATCCCTTGGGGTAGGAATTATTATGCCTACAATGACCATTAAATTATTGAGTCACTATGATTTATATTCTCCCAATACTTTTATCAGACAAAGGTATGAAGTAGAAGGAGAGAATTAGTCTTTTCGAGAAGAAGGAAGAGATTGAGCCCAAATATTTTATCCATATTGTTACGTTATTTGGAAGTTAATATAATTCTTTAATAATTTTCTTTCTCTTTTGTATTAAATTAAATTAAAAAAAAATGAATTTGAAATTCCTTTCTCATGTGTCAAATTTGAAGTTCAAATCACTAGATAACCTGGTTTGATAAATGTTTACTTGTTTTTTTTGGATACATAGAAAAAAGAGTAACAACAAAGTTAAAAATAATATAAAACAAAACAATACAATAGGGACCAAAATGAAATTTCAAAGCTGTACAAGGGGTATTGGGTAATTGTGTTAAGTGGCGGTAACCCTCGTGCATTGTTCTTTGAGCTGACCATACATCCACTTGGACGTGTCTGCTTGCTCTTCATTTCATGATATTCAGATTCCCATTTTGCCCTTCAAACTTCACATCTTCAACTTGAAGTGAATATATTGGTTAGAGTGCACATACCCAACTATGTGTTCAAATGTTGGAAGCACAACCAAAGTAATGAGTTTTGACTCCTTGAAACAAGCAATTATCCAAACAAATACAACGCTTTCAAGCCCAAAAGAGTGATCAAACATATAAAACAAATTCCAGTAAAGGTCCTCCGACTATCATGATTTTCCACATTTAGTCCTCGTCTTTTAATTTGGACAGAAAAGACACTTGACTATTAAAATCTTTCCATCAAAGGTCCTTCTGTCACCTTCTGTTACATTCGCCTCAATTTAACGTTAATTTAAAGGGTATATCTGTCATTTCAAAACATGTGTGTCTTCTTTCCTCATTATACGACTATATATGGTGCACGTTCTCCTTCTTTCTTCCTTAGACTGACCACCACTGCGTTTAAAACCATCACCGCCAGTGGCTTCTAATTTCGTGCTTCCGTCCTCCACGCACACGCACAGACCACTGCTTCCCAAACGTAACCAATATCTCCTACAACCACCTAAAGCAACATTAAGCTCCTCGCCTAGAACTTTCGGCAGGCCGATGAGGAGATCGACCCACTGCTTTCTCATTACTCTGGCCGGCAATGGAGGTGGTTGAAGAAGCTGGACACAGAGATCGAGTAATACAATTACCGATCGTTTCCCGACGAGTTGACCTGAGAGATTCCTAACGGGGTGTCAGACGGTCACCTACCGTTGATGAATGCTTAGACAGGAACCCAGTTGTTCAATAGTATCTGAATCGCCTGCTTTTGAGGGAGAAGAAGAAGATGAAGAAAAGGAGACGGAAAATGGGAATAATATCATTAGTACAGGTGAAGAGAAGAGTCAGGAGTTCAAGAATATAACATCAATGTTTAAAGTGGAATAATGTGGGACACAGGACACTCATATATTCAACTAAAGCTATATTCTGGTTTAAACACAGATGTGTAAGAAATGAAGCACGTTAAAGATGAGTTGGTAAAATTTTATCTTATTTGAAACCATTATTCGCCATTTTTATTCCATACATTGTTATAAAAAACATGTGAAAGTTATATCAGGAGGCCAGTATTTGACAGGCAATCAAGGTATAGGCATAGCTTCCAATTGCTAATCACTATCATCATATCCCTATTTCGTTATAGAACTCTGATTTAAAGTAATACTACAAGCTTTGTCAAGCAAAATGCGACGTTTGACAATCTATACTACCATTCACCGACATGCAATTCATTGATGAAGGTTAGTTATTCAATATAACTTGTATTCTTTTGTATTATTGTCACTACAAGCTAAGGTCCATGTAGTTGTGCTTTCTTTTATCAATTAGCAGTAACTTTATACAAGAAGTTGTGCATGCAGGATGATAGCAGTGAAGTTTCATAACATTTTCTTATAGTTTAATATCACTTATGAGATGATGGTTGAAAATAAAAGTCTTTATTTCGTATGTACATACTTTCGTTTGGAACTTGAACCCAAATTTCTCCTTGATGTGTTTCTGCCACAGGGAGTTGAAGACTCGAAGTACTGGAGGTCGAAGGCCATGATGAACTAGACCTCGGAGAAGAAGACGGAGTTGCGCATCTTGGCGGCCCGTTTAAAATTCCTGACAAATAGGGGTTGCTCCGATCCCGGTGGTCATGGGAGATGCTGGTTTGGAAAGTGGAGGCGGTGGTCTGGGCGTGGTAGACGGAAGTGCAAAACTGGAAGTCCCTTAGAGAAGTGTGGTGCCACCAGCGGTGATGGTTTTGGTTGCAGTACCGTGGTGGCTGGTCCAAGGAAGAAAAAAGGAGAAGGTGCGCATGCATTATATAGTCGTATAGTGAGGAAAGAAGATACACATGCTTTGAAATGACAGATAAACCCCTTAAATTAACGTTAAATTGAGGCTAAGGTAACAGAAGGTGACGGAAGGACCTTTGATGGAAAGATTTTGATAGTCAAGTGTCTTTTCTGTCCAAATTAAAAGACGAGGACCAAATGTGGAAAATCATGATAGTTGGAGGACCTTTGCTGGAATTAACTCTAAAACATAATTATCATATTTGATGGTTATACATAAGCAAACTATAATAGGAGGATTTTCAATGATTTTTGCGGTCTTTTTTGCTATGTAGAAGAGATAAAGTCAAGGTTGCCCGGCAAGAGATTAGTTTTTTATGAATCCCGCAAAAGAGAAAAAGTGGAGAAGAGGCACAGTTCTGCGCATTACAACTACATAGACAGCACCCAGCCAGGCGCGTGCATTCGGCTGGCACGTTAACTGTTTTGTTTTGTTTTTTTTTTTTTTTTTTTTCATTTTGCGTCAGACGTACTTTTTATTAATTTTTTCTTCTTTTTCCTCCTCTTTTCCTCCTCTCTCTCCTAGTTGTCACCTCAAAAATCACAAAAAAAAAACCATTGCTATTGAGGTTACCCCATCCTCAATAGTAGTGGTTTTTGAAGTGCCAATTAGGATAGAAAAGAGGATGAGAAGGGAAGAAAAAAAAATAAAAAATCTGACGCATTGCAGGGAGAAAAAACAAGCTTCTTGATGCGCTAGCCGGCGCGTGCAATGGCAGTGTCTGTGTGAAACGCGCAAAAACTGACTCTCTCTTCTTTATTTTCTCTCTCCTACGGGTCCACAAAAAATCACCCCTTATAGGACATCTCCAAATTTTCTCTCTCCTTCCGCTCTCCTCCACATCCCCAACATAATGTTACCTCAAAAACTTAGCAAAATTCACTAATGTGGATGCTCTTAGATACACAATCCCACACAAGCTGTGCACCTATGTGGACTCTCATGTCTCAAGTTGTTGTCACCCTTCAAAAAGAACAAAGAAAATATGATGTGATGTTTCATACTTATACAGCCTTTTTGCATCACAAGTGGGATTGAATCTTCTGGTTTTTCACTAGTATGCTATTCAAGAAATACTGATTAACACAGAAATGATTTCAAGATTGAGTTTCTTACTAGGAAGACTGCAAGGGTCAAGTTTAAGCAGCCTGCATAAACAAAGAAGCAAGCCTCGATATTGAAGTGTCGCAAAAACATATAAGCTCACAGTTTTCACAGACGAAAAAGAAATAAGGATGATAGTAGGAGGAATAACAATTCTGCACCTGTAAAGATCATGCTGTAGCTCTTTATGTTTTCTCCTTTTCGGTTTATCGTGTGCAACGTGACCTCGCGAGAAG